AAAATTACAAAGAGGCGAAAAATGCCATAAGGCATCTTTTTTATATGTGTCGCATAGTTGTTTTGAAGCAAAAAAAATCGCGTAATAAGTGTTGATATTTATTTCTTAAATCGATCAAAAGAAGTGCATCGCCACTTTGGCGAAAGATTCATAACAAAAAAAAAAAAAATATTAAAAAAAAAGATGAAAGAGATTGATAAAGATTAAGGTATGACGAACTCTATATTTAAGTTTTGTAATACTGTGCCTTTTAAATTACAAGATATTTCCATTTTAAATTTTGTATTCGGGTGATGCAATACTTTTGATCGTCACTGTATATCTAAACTGATAAAAAAAGATAAAAAAAAGAATTCCTTATCGAATTAAGCTTCCTTATCATCCTCCCCTCATTTTACAAAATTTATATCAAAACCGTGATTAAAAATAAAAGTTTCACCAAAAAAATATGTCACGTGCTCAATTAAGCTTTTCAATAAACGCTCTTATTCCCTCAAAGTTGCCAAGACGTTATATAGTTTAATTTCGTCTTCTGTCATCATCATTTTTGTATATATCAGATTCGAAGTCTTTCATCAAAATGAGCTAAGCGATGACAGCCATCGATAATTCCCTCGCATACTATTTATAATTCTTCATAGTCATGAAAAGCCTTTAAGGATATCGATAGATGGACCAATTAAATTTATTAATGTACAGTATATCTAAAAGAAAAAATTCTTTCATTAATTTATAGTAAAACGTCAGTACCATAAATAAATATTTAATATTCATTTTATTATGTGCTTGAACGAAATGTTTGATTTCATATTTATAAAAATGTTGATTTAATTTCTTCCTTTTATATTTATCGAAAAATTATTTCTTGTAATAAGATCGTCGTATTAGATCTCAGATGATGTCATTAATTAATATGTCGTAAATGTAAAAAATCATCATCGAAACTTTATATAATTATCTCATTGATTTGATTGATGAAATGTTATTTAAAATTACATTATTATGATTCCACCTTAACCTTCTGATTGACGAAATAATCTTTAAGAGAAGGTTATCTATGCCGAAGCAGCATGAGGGAATTTTGTATGATTGGCTACTAAACATCGCCTTAATTTTTGTAAAATTACTGTAATTGGTAAAATTGTTGCTGATCATCACCAAAATTATAAAATAACGTGATCATTTTTAAAAGTAACGCGAAATTTTTAAAAAATGCCGCATTGCCAAATTGTGGACCTTATGATAAAATTGTTATCAAAAGTATTATTTAATTAAATTTTGAAAATTAAAGCTAAAAGTGTAATTTATATTATCTATAGAATATAGAATAATCTTTATATATTTAATATAGATGATTACCATGCAATTCACAACCGGATATGAAAACGTCAATTGGGGTTATCTAACGTTAAAACAAGAGAAGAATTATATATTTAAATTTAAAAAAACTGTTATTAATGAATATCTCACAAGAAAAATTTTCCTTTTGGTATTTTTAATTCTTTTTAACGGAATCATAGATATATTATTATTTTTTTAACTCATCAAATTTAGCAGGATCCATTCAGTTGGGCAGCTAATCCCCATTATCATATATTTAAATTTCCTGCGATACCCCGTCCAAAGAATAGACACACAGCTCATATTAAAGAAAATCTATGATTTGATTAGTTACAGGATCACCATGCGGCTAATATAAATGAGTCATGGACTAGCAAAACGGACCTCCGAGACCCTCTGTCAAATTTTTTTTTTGATTTATATAAGCCGAACGTGCTTAACTATATAATAATCTATTTTTTAAATCATACATGTATAAAAATTACCGAATATTCAAATATAAAGTATAAATATATATTTTTTTATTCGTATTTTCAATAAGGCCAAATAAAAAAAAAAAGAAACGTTAAGAAATTCTAAACGAGCGAAATACCAATGGCGTAGTTGAATATTCGATCGAAACGATGAAACCTATTCGAACTTCGAATATAATTTCATTTTAATCATAATTAATTAATAAAGACCTTGCCTAGTTTCTTAAAAAAAAAAGTTCAAAATACGATCGATAAATACTTATTAGGAAAAATATATATAAATTTGTTTTGTGCCAGTATGTTTGATTTTATTTTTTAAAAAAGTAAGTTGTTCAACTTATTCATATGAATTTACTTACAGTCTAATGACATTTATTTGAAATAAAGACTAACTTCAGTAATTAAATTTATTGCCTTTTATTTTAACACTCACTTAACTACTTAATGTAATAAAACATATATACTGTATATATAAAAATGCTCAAAAATGATATTTACAACTTATTATAAAAAAAGCTAGATGAGAATCTGATAATAAGTATTCATTTTACTTTCTAAAAATACTTGAAAAGTTCAACATAAAGTGTGTAACCTTATAATAACAATTTCTAATAAAGGCTCTAAGATATCCAATCGGAGTGGATACTTGAAATGCCGCAGATCTAGATTTTAACACATCGACGGTTGATCTTTTTCGCATTTCATTTTCATATTCTTGAATGCAGGA